GGGCACACTGCAGTACATCACAATGCGTTAAAGGGAGCCCACTGCTGTCAGTCCTTTTGTGTGGGAGCATGCCCACTCTCTCCTCATGGGACGTGGCGATGGGGTGTAACTCATGACATATGGACCAAGTATGGGCGCCAGAGTCTATGTACATATTTGCAAAGTCAATTTCTATTTTTAGATTGGAAATAAGTAAAAATAGAAGTTCTAATATTCTTTTCCCATGCCCTCTGGGGACCCTGACCCCCCTTTGGAGATCACTGGTTTCACAGTGTAGGTTGGTGATTCCTTGCTGCAGTGGACATGGTTTGGCTAGTCTCAGCATTCATTCCTTGCTTTTCCTGTCAACATCAGCCTGATTTTCTTTTGGGTGGGTCCTCATTGCCTTAAGCTAATCAGCCCCGCCCAGCCCCTCAGTCACAGTGATCAGTATGGGGATGTCAAGAAACTCAATTCAGGCTTTAAAAAAAGTGAATCCTAGGACTTTCGTAGCAGCTCCCAAAAGAGGCTCTCTCCCTCACGCAGACGCTGCAGTCCAAGGGCATGATGAGGGCAGCACCGCAGCCAGTTTACCACCTGAGAGCACAGACCAGAACTCCCAGGAGCCACCAGGTGGAACCCGGGGATGGAATAAGATTGTTGAAGGTAAAGGCGAGAGATGGCAAGAAATTGGATCCTCGGTGACCTCATTTGAGCTCCAAGATGAAGGATTTCCTGAAGCCAGACCTACCCCTGGATCTCTCAGCTATATGAGCCAATAAATTCCATTTAATTGTATAAGCCATTTATTTAAGTTGGCTTTTCTATCACCTGCAACCAAAAAATTCCTCACTGATATGTCAACTCCCTCATGCAATTTGTTTTATTATTATTATTGTTTGTTTCGTTTTGTTTTTTGTTTATTGTAGAGAGTTAACTATACTCTGTAACAGAATTATCATCAGTAACTGCAAGGTCCTTCTATTGAATTATTCCCTTAGTTGCACACATTAATTTAAGTTTATGTACCAGGCACTGTTCTAAGTAATTTACATATGTTAACACATTTAATCTGCACAATACCCCTATGGAAATAGTACTATTATTATCCCCATTTTACAAATGAGGAAACAGAAGCAGAGAGGGTAAGTAACTTGCCTAAGGTTAGACAGTAAGTAATAAAGCCAAGATTTACTACCAAGGCAAATTTGAAGCAAGGCAATCTGGTTCCTAAACCCATGCTCTTAATCACCACAGTACACCAGAAAGACTGCACTACTCACATACTAACATTTGGCATTGTCCAACTATCTAATTTTTGCCACTGTGATGAGTGTAAAGTAGTATTTACCACTTATTGTGTAACCTGGGACAAATTACTTAAACTCCCTGTGTCTCAGTTGCCTTATCTGTAAAATGGGGGTAATAAAATAATACTGATTTCATAAAGTTGTTGCATGGTTTAAATAATACCAGTGACTTCGAGCATCTTTGCTCGTTGGCCATTTGGGATTCCTTTTTTGAGAATTGCCTGTTCATACCCTTTGCCCATTTTTCTATTGTGTTTCCTGTCTTTTTCTTATTAATTTGCAGGGGTCACATATATATTGCAGTTATACGTTCCATGTCAGTTTTACATACTGAATATCTCCTTCTAATCTATCATTTTTTCTATGATGCCCTTGATTGAACAGGAATCTTTAATTTTGATGTAATCAAATCCATCAGTTGTGCCCCAAATGTAGAGAGAATAAAGATATGAAAAACATTGTTTATGCCCTAAGCAACTTAAAATCTAGCTGGAGAATCAAGAGCAACAACTATATGAACAAGTGTTAAACATTGTATAATAGTATGCAATAAAATACCAAGTTGTAAGGCTGTATAACCAACTATTAACCTTGGAAAAGCATCCAAATTTTTCTGAGCTTCAGTTTCCTTACTTGGAAAATGGAAGCAATAAAAAAATACCTTTAAGTTTGTTGTGATAATTAAATAAAACAAGACATGTGGAATGGCTCTGGTAGGACCTGGCACATAGTACCAACAGCAATTCAGATACAAAGCAGATCAATGAGATCATAACGGCTACCATTTATGGGAGTCTACTGCCAGGCACTTGCTATAAGGTATGATATTTAAATTTCACACCCTGCTGCAAGGCATTATTGCTGGTCTTTGTCAGATGCAGAAACCTAGGTTTGGAGAGTTTAAGTAATTTGACAAAGATCACACAGCTAGTAAATGGTAGCAACGGGATTGAAAGCCGGGTTTGTTTGACCTCAAACCTCATGTGCTTTCCATTATGCCAAGTTATTGTCAGAAAAGGAGCTAGAGAAGCAATGAAGCTTTGCTTGGGTCCTGCAAAAAAAGAGACAATTTGAATAGACAGAGAGAGGAAGGGAGGAAAGGAGGTGGTGCCAGATACTGAGGGGGTGCAGTGCATGTGCAAGAGATGAAAAGTGTTATGAGTTACTAGAGGACAGAAGCCAAACCTTGTACATCACAGTTCCTTTCCGTCGTGGCATAGAGACTGTAACCATGGGCCCTCTAGGATGGGTTCAAACTGACCCCATCTCAACAGAAGGTTACGGTTGCTTTTCAGGAGAAACCCAAAAAATGCAAGTCACGTAGCCAGAGCATGCACAGAAGAGAAACTCTTGACCTGAAATAACACCGGAACCAAAGATTCCTCCACTCTGCCCACCCCCCCGACCCCACCCACCCACCAACCCCCTGCTGCCAAACCAAAGGACCAGGACACAAGGGGAACTTGGAAGTTGAACTCTCAACAGAAGCGAGGGGTCCATTGTGTAGAAAGATCTGGTGTTAAAGCCCCTTTCACACCTTACCATAAATGTTTAAAGCCCTCCGATCAAAACCTGCCCTGTAAGCACTTCTGCATACCAGCCTGTTCCCCTAACCTCTTAAATTTTGCCCCAAGCTCTGGATCAGGGAAACAGATTTGAGAGCCTTGCCTCCTGTCTCCTTGCTGGTGGACCTCACAATAAAGCCTTTTCTCTTCTCAAAAGCTGGTGGGGTAATTATTGGCTTTTTATGTGCATCAGGTAGAGAAATCCCTTTTTGTGCAGTAACAAGACTGAGATAGAGTAGCTGGTGGGGGGACATTTGTTCCCTACTTCTCTTATTTCCATAACAAGGAAGCAGGAATGCATTGTCTAACTGGTGAGCTTGAAAGAGGAACTAGGGATGCGTCACTCCAGCCCCTCAAGTTTGGGGAGCAGGTCTGCCCCAGGAAGCACATGTTTTCTGCTTTTCCAGAAACTGTAAAACTGCAGTCCATTGTATACAAGCAGACTTTCCAATTCTGCTTGTGACTAGGGGTATGTTCAATTCTGGGGTGAAGTACAAGCAGGTCCTGGTCCCTGCAGATCTAAAGCCATGGCCACCATTCCAGTTTTTACCAGGGACAAAGCTGAGACTTTGCTCTTTATCAATCTAACAGACTCCTGCAGCTATCTCAATGGATTCTGAACTTGCATGGGGAATACAGGTGTTGTTTGAAGTCCCCTAAGACGGCAACAGAAGGCACTCAACAAACCACAGTAAAAGAGTGACTATGACAAGTTCAGAGGACGATGAGAAGACTCACCTGACTTGAGCAGAGGGCATATGTTAAGTAGCTGAAGTAAGGTTAGATGGATACGGTGCCCCAGAAATGGAAGATTTACAAGAAAGAAAGGCAGAGAGTTTGCATTTGATGTGGGAAGAAGAGTGCTGAAAGTTTCTGAGCAGGGGAAGAGCGTGAGGAAGACAATGTTTAAATCAGGTAATGAGACTTTGGCAATGGGTTCAGTGGAGACTAGGGGAGGAGAGCCTGGAGCTGGAGGCAACAAGAGGGGGTTTCCAGAGTTCCCGAGTGAGGGAGGATGAAGGTCTGGCCTAGGGGAAGTGAAAATGTGAACGGGGGTGACAGGATGCATACGACATCTCAAAGGGAAACTGCCAGGATATGGTGACAGCTGGGGTTGGGAAGTGGAGATAGGTTTTCGAGGCACCACTCTGAAAGAGGTAGATGAGCAGGCCTGGGAGCTGGTGGAAAGTGGGGCTCAGCCTTGGTCAGATTAAATTTGAGGTGTCAAGTCCTCAGCACCAGAGGAACCGACGCAAGGTGGGAAAGAAGCCGCAGTTGGGAGCAGTTTGGGGAGTCAACACTGTCAAAGAGGCAGCACACACTTGAAGGCCTCTGGGAAGAAGTTGGTGGAGATGGGAAGTATGAAGATGGAGGGTACCTGGGATGATAGGGGTGGGAACACGGACACAGGTGAAGGGTGGACGGAGAGGAGGGGGACACCAGTCGCTCCTGGACCGTTGGGAAGGACGGGATGAGGCTGCGGGCAAACGCTGGAGTCAGGATCTTCTCAGCGGAAGAGGACGGTCGCCACCTTCCCCCCAGGAAATCCACAGTTGAACCCAAAGCAGCCTTCTCCACGCCGGCCGGTCCTCCGGGCCCTGCGCCCATTTCTCGCGCTCTGGCTGCAGTGGCGCCCTGGACCCAGGGCTGTGGGGGGGCTCCTTCTGTATCCCCAGCCCTCTCTCTATCAGCCGTGGGGGGCGGTTCCGGCTCCCCAGGCCGCAGGGCGCCTTTTCCTCCAGGTTCCCGCCCCAGCCCGGGCCGGGGGCCCCCGGCAGCACCGCCCACCTGGCCACCGCCGCAGCCGGCGCCCGCAGCCCGCCCGAGCTGCTGCAAGCCAGCGGCCCCTGCCGGGGGTGGGTTTTCGGCCCTCCCCCCCAACGCACCCCCTCCGCCTTTGTTGCAGCGTCTCCCCGGACACCCCCCTCTCTGCCTCTGTCTCCACGTCCTGGGGACCGAAGGGTGCTCGGCGAGGGGCCCGGCGGGGAGAGGGGTGCGGGCGGCGCCAGGACGCACGCGGGCTCCCCGGAGCGAGGGGCGGGGAGGAGGGAGCGCAGCCCGGAGCCGCGGGGGCCGCTGCTGCAGAAGGGGGAGGAGAATGGGGAGGAGCTGGGGGGCAGGCAGTCGGGGAAGGAGGGGTCTTAAGGGGCGGCGAGCGCAGGTCGGATTTCCTCCGAGGCTGGCGACTAGCGAAGCTCCCACCTTCCCTTAGAGCTCGCCGCAGCCGCCGTGCCCCGCGCCCTCCGGAGACCGGGACGGGACCATGGTGAGAGCGCGGTGCGCGGCGCGGGGCCGAGCGCGGCGGCCCGACCCCTCCGGGCGGCCGGGGGTGGCCGGGCGGAGGGGACGAGGTTGCGGGACCCGAAGAAGTTTCCGGGGTCGGCGCGGGGCCCGGTGCCTTCAGTCTCGCTCTTCTCTCTTCCGCAGATGTGGACACGCTGGCTCGCGCTCGCGCTGGTGGCCGTCGCCTGGGTCCACGCCGAGGTAGGCGAGCCGCTGCGGAGGTCCGAACTCGGGCTCCGGGGCCACTTGGGGCTGCGCGTCGGGCGGGCGGTGCGTTCGTCCTGGGGATGCTCTCCCGGGTGGGACCGGGAGTTTCCGTACGTGGAGTGATGGGGGCGCTCCGAGCAGAAATGCTACTTGGGAAACTTAGACCTCAAAATCAGGAAAAGTAGTTAGGGCCGTAAGCGGAGCCGCACCGCACTAATATGGAGGGAGAGTGGGGAGGGGAGAGGACGAGCTGGGCCGATCGCGACGGAGGCGGCGACCAGAGCAGCAGCCGAGTTCAAAGAGGCGCCTTGAGTTCTTTCCTTCACTTCAGAGGAAATTGAGAATAGTTGGGGACTTTTCCCTTCCGAGTCTGTCTCCTCGGGGGAAGAAAAAACATCTCAAGAGATTCTTCTTTTAGGGCGGAATAAATTTTTTTCTCTTTTATCAAGTAAGATGATGATTCCCTGAAATTTGGTTTTTTTTCTTTGTAAAATGCCCTCGGATTTTGTGTTATTATCAGGGCCATGTAACGGCCTTTTAAAATCTCTGTTTTCCCTTAGGCTAGCGTTGCGCAAGTGTGAGAGATCCCTTGATCTCTTTGGGGCTCCGCGTTTCCAGTCAAAGTATTTCAGCGCTTTTTTGGTAATGTTTTCTTTTCAACTCCAGTGACCTTCCTGAGGCACTGCAAACAAACCAACAAACCCTTCCCTCACAAGCCCCTCCATTAACTCAAAGGTTTATGGACAGAAAATAAACAATTCTAAATTCCCTGTGCTCTGGTCTCCAGAAAAGTGAGGTCAGAAACCAAACATTTGATAATTATGGCAGGAAATGTGGAAGGAATTAAAAAGCATGAGGGAGAGGAAATGGAATGTACATTACAAAAGAAATAGCTCCCTGGTGGGTGGTTATTCTCCCTCTCCCTCTTCTTCATATTGCAGTTTAGCCCCACCCTTAGCATCCCAGCTTGACTCTGTCCCAAAAAATCATAAAAGCAAGCAAGCTCTTCACGATTAAAAAAAAAATACACATTATACTGAACTCTCATCTAATTCACTACTGCGTTGTTGGTTGAACTGGAAACGCTAGCTGTTTTTACTCACAATGAAGTAAAGAAATACCTAATATTTACTGGATATCTGCTTTATGTTATAATAAACCCCATTTTAGTGATGGGGAGACTGAATCAGTGAGGTTACAAATTTATCCACTTCCCTGAGTTGTTAAATGGTAGAAGTAGGGGCCAGCCGCAGTGGCCTAGCGGTTAAGTCCAGTGCTGCGCTTCAGCAGTGAGTTGGTTCCCCCACTGCCGGCCTACACCACTCATCTGTCAGTGGCCATGTTGTGGTGGCAACCCATAAACAAAAAGAGGAAGATTGGCAGTGGTTGTTAGCTCAGGGTGAATCTTCCTCAGCAAAAAGCAAAAAGGTAGGAGTAGGACTTGAACCTAGGCAGTCCAGCATTACACTCCAGGCTCTCAACCACTACCCCACAGAAGAACCTTGTATTTGCCCTGTATTTCTTATATTGCAGATGTTGGACTGCATGCCTTATTTCTTTCAAAGCTTCCCGAACCTTGTAAGGTAGGTTTTGTTATCCCCATTTTATAGAGGAGGAAATAAGTTTAGGGAGATTGGGTAAGCTGTCCAAGGTCACATAGCTAGTTAGTTCTGAAGAAGGATCTGATCCCAGCTCCCCCACCTGTGGAGCCCATCTTGAACTCCAGCTCTGCTTCTCATGCATTTTGTTTTCCAGGGTTTGAATTTGAGGGAGGATCTGTCTTCACTGGCTGATTTCACCCTAGCTAAGGAACACCCTTCCCTCCCTGCTGTGGCCCTCAAAAGGCAGCTACAGTCCAGTGATGGATGAGGTGAATCCCTGGTTGGTTTTACAGCGGGCTTGGGAATTGCCAGCTAGTGTGTGAAATCGCTGGGAACAGGAATGCAAATACACATGAAGTGTGAGGAGCTGTTGGTTCACTCACCACAAGGCTGTGTGGCCCAAGGTCCAGGATCTATCCTGGGCAGCCTGCATATACCCCCACCCCTAGTGCATTGCAGTGAAAAGCTTAGCTCTCATAGGAAGTTCCCTCAGCAGCAATTTCCTGCTTGAGGTAGCAGAGCAGAAAGTACTCTCAGAGAATTCCCAGGCAAAATCCATGGGGAAAGAAGCAAAATCAGGAAGTGCTGAGGCGTGAAAACTGAGGGAGTTGGTGCAGAAAAGAGGCTGTGAACTCAGGGTGTGTGAAGAGGGAGGAGTAGGTATCATCTAGTTACGTTTTATGATTCCAGATTATTAAGGATTATCTTTTAATCAATCCACTCTCTTGGTGTCTGGCCCTAGTTCTGTGTTTTAATAATAATATACCTTTTTTTTTTTTTATATAAATTTTTTGTTTATTGCAGTAACATTGGTTTATAACATTGTAAAAATTTCAGGTGTACATCATTGTACTTCAATTTCTGCATGGACTACATCATGTTCACCACCAAAATACCAATTACAACCCATCACCACACATGTACTGAATTATCCCTTTCACCCTCCTCCCTCCCCCCTTCCCCTCTGGTAACCACCAATCCAATCTCTGTCCCTATGTGTTTGTTTATTGTTGTTATTATCTACTACTTAATGAAGGAAATCATATGGTATTTGACCTTCTCCCTCTGACTTATTTCACTTTGCATTATACCCTCAATGTCCATCCATGTTGTCACAAATGCCTGGATTTCATCGTTTCTTATGGCTGAGTAGTATTCCATTGTGTATATATACCACAGCTTCTTTATCCATTCGTCCCTTGATGGGCACTTAGTTTGCTTCCAAGTCTTGGCTATTGTGAATAACGCTGCAATGAACACAGGGGTGCATGTACCTTTGCAAATTGGTGTTTTCAAGTTCTTTGGATAAATACCCAACAGTGGAATAGCTGGATCATATGGTAGTTCTATCCTTGATTTTTTGAGGAATCTCCATACTGTTTTCCATAGTGGCTGCACCAGTTTGCACTCCCACCAGCAGTGTAGGAGAGTTCCCTTCTCTCCACATCCTCTCCAACACATGTTGTTTCCTGTCTTGTTAATTATAGCCATTCTGACGGGCGTGAGGTGATATCTCATTGTAGTTTTGATTTGCATTTCCCTGATAGTTAGTGATTTTGAACATCTTTTCATGTGTCTGTTGGCCATCTGTATATCTTCTTTGGAGAAATGTCTGTTCAGGTCTTTTGCCCATTTTTTAATTGGGTTGGTAGTTTTTTTGTTGTTGAGATGCATGAGTTCTTTATATATTTTGGAGATTAAGCCCTTATAATATACCTTTTTTATTAGTTTTATTCCATGTTTTAATAATAATATACCTTTCATTATTAGTGAAAAGGTAAATTAACCCTAGCAATGTAGATATTATTTTAAACATTTTGTCGTGTAGTTAAACGTGCTTGTGGTTGAAATTTTTTTTCCTTGTTGGCTATAACAACATATAGCAAACAAAGCCAAATAATGATATTGATGGCCTCTAGTCACATGAATCCACCTTAGTAGACTTGAGGGCTAACATTGCACAAATATTGTTGAACTTTTAAAAAATGAAATATAGAAAATAAACTAAGTTTTCTTGGTGCTTTTTGCTTTAATACAAGCACAAGGATTCAACTCAGCATATTTTTTAAAAATGTGATCGCCTGACAAATCATGTTCATATTTGAAGAAGCCAGGCCTTTGGAATAGTAGACTTCCAGGATCAGAGGTGTCCCAAGCTTTTGAAAAGGTGGTTGTCATCATTGTTAATGCCAGGCTGTACATCCTGTTTGGTTAGATTCAAGAAACTATTGACAGATCTCATTAAGGAAAGTGTTATATTTTGAGTATTTTCCGTGATCTCTTACTGGCAGCTCGGGGTTGCTTTTTTGATTGCTTCTTCTCTTTCTTACTCTCTCTTTGTCTTAATACTCTATCACCAATGTATTTCTTCAGGCAGTCTCCATCAAAATTCTGCCCCATCCACCAGAGCTCTCACCCAGGCACTCTTTAGAGTCTGTGCTGGAAAGGAGGTGCTGGGGGGTGTGGCTCATGTCTCTTGATGAGCGTATATTAGTATCTGGTATGGATGAGGAAGGAGGTGGGGCGTCGCAGCAGAGGGAGTGCTTCAACTAACAATCACACAGCTACCCCTTTACTCGATTCTGTTGGGCCTGCCCCCTTCCCCTCACCCATCTCCCTCCCACTGGGAATTACTGCAGTTCCTTGAGAGGCGTTGATGGTGGAGGCTGGGAAAGGTTGAGAACCGAGGCGTTAGTGCATGCGCCCTTGAGTCTCAGTAGGCTGAGTCCACTCTACATGGCAGGCTGGAGGGGACCCTGTGGCACAACTGCCTGCTTCCCAAAGACAGCCTTGGTAGGTGTCCAGGCACACCCCCACTCTCCTTGGTGGTTGTCTCTGCTGGCACTCTGATCCCCAGCATTCCAACTCTATAAATTCATCATGATAGCACATGTACAGGGGACTGTTTCACAAATCAGAACACTTGTTCCAGTAAGGGAATACTTAACCTGCAAACTGTGAGTGCATCATTTAAGGTAATAGTAACAAGAACAATAACAATAGACAAGAAGATTATTAGGGCATTGTCCTTCTGAAGCCAGATTCCTTAACCTCATTTACACCCTATTATCAACATACAGTCAACCAGTAGGGGTTTTATTGGCCGATGTGGGATCTCCTCTATATTCTTTAGAATTATTCTAATGGTGGATTCAGGCAGGCCTAGAGTCTGACCCACATCCTGACTGCTTCTTGGAGCTGCAGCAAAACTAGGATTTTAATATCCATCTTGTACATAAACCACTAAAATAATCTCTTGTTTGTTTATCCTTTGGCAAATAAACTTTGCTGTGGTTCTAAAGACCATGGTTGGAAATTGGGATGTTAAAACATAGCTGGGACTCTGCTGAATCGCCAAAACAGATGGGCAAGCGCCCTGCAAACTGAGGCCCT